TATATATTTATAATATTTTATTACATTAGTTGAAAAAATTTGAATAGTAATGTTCACAAATTTTGACATCATTTCAAAGAATATAATTTTAAAAAGCAAAATATAAAATTTAAGTGAAATTGGTCTCATAGTTCTTGAGAAATCGAATTTAAAAAAAAAAGTATTTTAAAAATTCGATTTCTCAGGAACTATTTGACTGATTTCACTCAAATTTCATATTTTGCCACGCAAAGTCATATTCTTTAAAATGATGCAAAATTTGTTCGCCTTACAATTCAAAAATACTTTGACTAATATTTAAACAAATTATAATATTTACATTTAATTTTTGCTTGGAATTACCTTTGGATAAATGTTTTTTTTTCTAATTGTGCTCAAGAAGTTTTCAATTAGCGTGCAAATTTCTCGAGATAAGGTGAAATACGCAAAAAGTAAAATTTATATTAAAGGATTCAAACTTTGGACTGATCTAATGACCAAACTATTGAGACTCTATTTCCCAGATGGCTGCTACCTCCTATATTTTGGGGGTAAAAAATTTGAATCCACCGAAAAAATGGCATGTTCATTCAGAGAAAGTACGTTTTTGTGGCTGATTTCGTAACTTAAAATATAGCGTGCACTAATTAATTAGCGCATTTGAGGTTACTCGTTTGAATCATTAAGAATAAGTCCTAGAACGTGAAAATCCAATCATTGATTAAATTATTGGATTATTAAGGGGGTGTTCTGTACGTTTTTTATTTTGTGAACTGTACATTTAACGCGTTAAGTCAACTGAACTTTAGAACATTAAACTTAAAATCTATTACTATTCAGTAATATGTATATTACGTCTACATATTATTGAAATTATGCTAGTAACAGAGAAAAGTAATTTACTTTTTTAAAACTTTATTTTATTAGAATACAGAAAACATAATGACAATATTTTAAATGGCTACCTTATAAAAAATGGAACATCCAGAGTACCACGGGAACCATTGCTGCAACAGAAATAATTTAATACAATTATTATGGTAACAAAATGAAAATAAAAGCTGAAACAATATTAAACTGTTTGACTTTTACTCAAAAGAAATTTTTTAAACTGTGTGTTAGATATGCTGTGCTTTTTCTGAAAGATTTTCTTAAGAAAAAAACTCTGAAGAAAATCTAAAGGTATTTACTCACTCCATAAGCTTACTTTTTCTTCAAATTATCTACAGAATTATTTACTATTAAAAAAAAATTTTCTTCAAAATTCTATAAAAATTTACTAACTACTACTATCGATCTTGAGAGATGGGAACAGTGGCGTATCTAGGGTATGGCAAGTATGGCGAATGCCATGGGCGCATTATTTCAAAAAGGCGCAAAATCAATCAACATCAACGATTATTTTTTTAATTAAAAATTTTACTAATTTTTTTTTCAAGTTATGGCAGAATTAAAAAAAGCATCCAACATTTAACCTTTCCTCGAGGGCTCGAAAAGAAGACATCGAGGTCTTTCGAGGAACTCTTTATAACTGGGGGAGTGAAATATGAAAGGGAACCGCTAATAATAAAAACAAAGTAGGTGACGAGCGTTAAGCAATTTTAACCTCCCACTGTTTTTCATTTTTTTAATAACTTCGTTTGAAAACTCATAGACCACCTCAGTTAGGGATAATAGGAGGGCCAAGGTTTCCAGCGCTTTTACATAACTCGAAAAGCGCGAGAAATCTAAGTTGTTATATTGGATTCAACATTAAAAAAAAATGGGGGAAATAAGAAGAAAAAAAAACATTCCACATAACTTTAAACAACTTGACGTCTGTGTAATAACAATTCATACACGTTTCTGCAATCATTCACTAGACACTTTTTCTTTCATTATACTTTCAAGTTGAGCAACAGAGGATTCGAAATAAATAAAAAAAACTTTACATTCATGAATACATTCAAGATAAATACTAAAATAAATCAGTAATTAAAAGTAGCTTTTTCGTTTCTACTACTATATTTACGATGATTTCGGCAAAAACCAAATTTTAATTATAATATCGTAATTTAAAGAATAATGCAGAGTTTTTAATAATTATAATTATAACTCTCTTTACTAACTTTTTGATACTTTCCAATAAAAATATTTTTAATTTCAGAGAATTTCCTAAATATTTAACATTTAATGTCGATCAAAATCCTTTGACAAAAAGACTTTTAGCCCCATATTTAATTTTATAACCGTCGTTGAACAGCCGACCTAATTCCGTAGCCTTGTAATTTTGAACCCAATCCAGAAGACAAGGGAACTCCTATATCGAGAAATGGGAGAAATTTGCCTTCGTGGAGCTAACCCGCATTTGCGTTACATGGAGAGGAAGGCCACGAGAATCTCTCACGGTTAGCCTGACGGGACTGGAACTCTAACCCATGATCCGTCTACAACTGAGGATATTTCCATGATATTTCACGTCAGCACTGTGGTCGGTGCGAGCCGGGTGCGGAATTCGTATCAACTGGGATTCGAACTCGGTTCGCCTCATTGCAAGGCGAACGCTCTATCCCCTGAGCCATCGCGGCTCCTATATTTAAATTAAAAGGAATTTAAACTTATTTTTTTCTAAAATGTAGCTTCTTATTGCTTCACGATACGTCAAAGCTGTAGTAGAAAGAATTTAAGTTATCGCTGATAAAA